ATTTAATTAAACCTATTAAACCGCTTTATTTCTTGGCATGTCATAAGATTGCATTTCTCTAAAAGATTGTGTAATATATGTATATATATGTACATAGCGTGATAGACATTTCCTGTTTTCCATTTGAAGATTGCTCTGCGAAGGGTTTTATCACCGGGCAGTGGCGAAGACGAAAGGGGTGCTGGATTGCCATATGGTATATGGCATATATAAGGCTATCATGTGAGGATCGGCCTAAAGGCAGTCAGCTGGAAAGTGAGGTAAGAGCAAATGCACCACCTGCTGCGTCTGAAAGTGACAAAACGAAATCGAAATTCCCTCGGTTTTCTATTTTATTAATGGCAAGAGGGGAGAAGTAGCTTCGTGCAAAGCTGCACAGAAAGAAAAACCGCCACTGCCACTGGAAATATTGTTCTCAGCATTCCGAGAACTTGTGCATTATTCTATAAAAACCGTGTATTTAGTGAGCAGGGGTGGCATTTAAAGCCGAATTTAGGTGGGCAACCAGAGGCAGCTGTTCAGTAATAATTCTAGTTATTCACTTAATGCAATGACAGTGTTTTTCGTATGGTGTCGATTATGCAGCCAGAAAATGGGTTTCCCATCCATAAGTGTCACTGTACTCCCCGCTTATCGCTAAGGCTTGAGTAAACAGTCGGAACAAACGTAGCATATCGGTTTATGCAATATTTTTTGAATTGTACAATAGTCTTGCAGTAGCAAAGTTTTTTCTTGCCTTATTACTAGCAGTCGCCTGGGCAAACATTTAATTAATTAACAAATACGACCTTGACTGGAATTTCAATTAAGTAAGTACATAGCTTGTGCAAACTTTGATGAAAATGGTGGAGTGATATATGTTATGCCAAAGTAATGTTGTCAGGGTGATGTTGTGGTTAAATATCAATTGCGGGTAACTAACCTTTTGACGATTTCCGATTCGTTCCGATCCGATTCGCTTCGATTCGAAAAAACCGATCCGCAAAGCTGGCTGAGTGGATTTTTTTCTTGCCTTTTTGGCGATGTGCGTTCAAAAAGGTGGACCAAAAAAGTTAAAAGTTAAAGAGAGTGACTAATGCCGCACGCACACAGTCGCACTCAATTTGTTGTCACACACACCGACGCGCGCGCACACTCGCGGGCATCAACTTTGCACTCTTCTCCCCTCTCGCTCGCTCGCATTCAAGGTGGTTAACGAGAGGTGAGCCAACAAAAACAACAATAGTAGCGGGCGCACTCACACACACGGGCTAAATAGCTGAACAGCAGCTGCAAAAGTAGTAGCACGAATCCGCAGAAACAAAAGCGAAGAAAACAGGAGACGGAGAAGGAAGTGCGCCTGCAGCTGCGACAATTATCACCCGATTATTTCGCAGCGTGTATTGCGAAATGTGCGCCTTCGTTTTGCTAAATACTTTTGCTTAATTATACGCACGCACACACACACCAAGGCACTTTTCCATAACGAATTTATTCATCGACGTTCTGCACGAATCGCTCTCAGCTGTGCTATTTAATAGCGATATTTGTCGGCCTTGATATGCCTCGATGTTTTCCAAAGGTGTCGCAGAAGAGTTATGGAATAATTTAATTATTCTCCGTTTTTATTGCGCCGCGAACGCGTCCGTTATGTTGATTCTGCCAGAGTGCCCGTGGGTTGCAGCCGGAATAATCCTACGACTAGGCGTTTCGTTTTCCCGCGTTTTGCAACACTGCTTTCTGTCGTTTATTTGCAATACTTATAATGTGTTTCCACTAAAATCTTGTTGTGGTTATCGTTTGTTTCTATTTGCTTTGGTTTATTTTGAAATTTATTTTTCATTTGTGTCCTCTTCTTCAATTGCTTGAAAAAAGGTTGATACCACAACCTTTTAGTGTAAAAAACACACTAGTTCTAGGAGCTTTGAGGGAAGAATATATTTACGTTTATTGAAAACGCTAGTGTGAAGACTCCAAAATGTGACCGTTTTCCCTACTAAATTCCGACACAGTCTGCCCACATCCAGCCGCCCAGAAAATACTGCCAAAATAAAACCAAAGTGGGCTTGCACATCCCTTCGAAAAAAAGACTCCCGACATATTTTATTTCGATTGCTCAAACGCCGCCGACGAGCCGAAAAACGCGCGTACATCTACTAGGACAACAATAGGAACTGCAGCATAGTACATTTACTTTTTTGACCAGCTGTCTAAGGAACCAAATCGAGGCTGCGAAAATGGATGACTCACGCGAAGAAAGCCAGTTTATTGTGGACGACGTGAGCAAGACGATTAAGGAGGCCATCGAGACGACCATCGGCGGGAACGCCTACCAGCACGACAAGGTGAACAACTGGACCGGCCAGGTGGTGGAGAACTGCCTGACGGTCCTCACCAAGGAGCAGAAGCCCTACAAGTACATTGTGACCGCCATGATCATGCAGAAGAACGGGGCAGGACTGCACACCGCCAGCTCCTGCTACTGGAACAACGACACCGACGGATCCTGCACGGTCCGCTGGGAGAACAAGACCATGTACTGCATCGTTTCGGTCTTTGGACTGGCCGTCTAAAGTGGAGGAGTCGCAGAACTTGCAGGGCTCGCAAGGAGGACGACCCGGAACTGGACGTCGATAATAGCAACTAACTTATAAGGGGGAGGGATTAACAAGATTGCCGTCGTACACAAACACACACCCACAACTACACAAAAAGCACACACTTAGATCGGCCATCCTGCTGCAAGGACAAAATTAATTACGAAGCACTGGAAAACAATGTTGTTTCCAAGCAATTACCCAGCAACTATTCGTTGCAAGTGTTGCCTGATGTTATTCTTGGTTTTCAATCTAAAAACGTAAATAAAAAATGTATAAACATGTAACGTTTACTGTAGTATAAGTTAAGCATTCCAAAATTGTTTCTATGGGATTTTCTTTACTTTGGGTGCCTAGGAAAGGGTCGGCAAATTCCATGGTACCTTTATAAGTAGAGCCATTGCTCTAAAATCGATTAGAATTTCCAGGCATTATTCTTTATTGGTATTTCCCTTACTTGGCTAAAAGTGATTAAATTGATTAAGACTCCGTTCCTTTAGAATAACATTCTATCATTGGGAGCTTTTTCTTTCTGGCAATGCCCAAAATAACAAAAGCAGACATATCTGGCTAAAATAAATGTTGTCGGCCGGCCTGCGTTTGTTAAATCGATGGCTGACGCGTTGTCCTTGAAGCTACTTCTACTTCTTGCGCTGGAAGCGCCGGCCCGACTTTAGAGGCGGAACCTTGCTGGGCAGGCGCAGGCTAAGGATGTCCGAGTTGGATTTCGGAAGAGCGTTCACAATATGGGCGTACTGCTTGATGCGAGCCTTGCTGGTGGCCAAAGCACGGGATAGGACGTTAATGTCCACTTCAAACTTCTCACTGATAAGCAGGGACATCACAATAAAGTGAGTCAGTGCCTTCTCGCTGCTGAAATTGGTGCGAGTTCCCTTCTTGGCCACATTGGGATCCGCAAAACGATGGCGTATATCATTCTCGACCTTCTCCGTGATGCCTGAGAGTTCAACCTTCTGCATTTGCCGCGAACGAAGGGAAATTAGCGACTGTAAGCCGTCCATGTAGATGATAAGTTTAATGTGCAAGAAGTCCTGCTTCGATGAGACGGCCTTTTCCTGAATTGCGGCCAAACATGTCTTGAGGTATTCCGATTTAACGCTGAAATGAAAGGAATATTAGCAGTTACTACTTATTTATTACTAAACAACTTACGGTAGAGTCTGAACAGGCGTGGAAAACACCACCTTGGCCTCCTCGTCCAGTCGTTCGAGCAGAGAGCTCGGGATCAAATTTTCCACAGCGTACACTTCGTCCACTTTGGTGGCCTCCTTGTTGAACTTGGGCACAATGGTGGCCAGGTACTCCTCATTGTTGATGCTAACGTCCGCCAGGGTGTCGTCCTCTTCGCCTTCATTCAGCATGGTTGAATTGACCGTTTCGTCCAGATCCTGACGCATCACCTCCACGTTGACCATCATCTGTTCGCGGTTATCCACAAACCGCGATGCTTTGCGCCCTCCAAACTCCTTGAGCAGCTTCTTGTTGGCGTGCTCCCGGCTCATCGTGGGAGCCGTTTTCTTCTGGCGCTCCAGTTTCTTGTAAATGTGATTGGACATCAATGCCTGTTGCACAGGCACAATTTTAACTTTGTTGGTGGCTTTGTTTCTAATGCAAATGTAGGTGTCGACTTCCTCGCTATCCTGAATCTCGCCCGTGTACACCTGCTCACCCGCCCATACTACAGCCCGCTTTTTGTTATCCACGGTGCTCTCAACCATGCTAAAATCTGCGTTGCCTAAGAGTGATCCATTCTGGAATTTCACTATGGATGGAAAGTGAGATTTTATGTATTTTCCTGGTTGAAAACTAAATTAAACTATTTAACTTACGAATAGTAGGCAGTAGCTCGTCCCTTTTGTGATTGCATACGGTCTCTATTTGTATTTTATCCTCCATGGTTACGACGAGTTATTTGAATATTTCTGGCTTTTAGAAACAATTCAAATGTTGCACGTGTGGAAATAAAACAGATGGCTTCGAAGGACAAAAGCTAAGTGCTATGAAAGCAGATTCAAGACCAAATCGAATAATCGATAGAATCGATATACAACAATTTTTAAATTTCGACAGCGTAGCATTTAATATTAAAAACATTTACTAACTAATAATTTATAATCATATAAATTTTAATCTAGTAAGCGTGAGAAAACTCATAAAATCATACTCTTAAACTGCAGTTTAATGATTATGAATACTACAGTATTTTCCTATTTCTCGAAAAATAGTTTTTATTTTAAAAAAATAGATACATATATCATCTATGATACGAACATACTTAAACAGTGGCTATAATTTATGGACGCCTTGCAGCTTCTGGGGCAAAGGTAAATCCAGAAAATGTGACATGTTTGCTTTTTACAATTTTAACTACATTCTGCAATATAAGAAATTCCATTATATATATCATATTTCAATTGAGGAACCAATTGTGAAACATACCATGACCAGTTTGATGAGGAAAACGGCGAAGGTCAGGAAGTTGATGCTCATGATTGCCGCCTCAGGCGGAAAGTCTATTTCCGAGTCATCCAAAATACCACGTCGACGTCTCCTTTTTCGCTCTGGTGGCTGCCAAAGAACCGCGAACTGTTGCTCTAAAAAACAGAAAATCAGAATAATTGTAGTGGGACAGCATTTAAGTTCTTAAAGCTTATTAGAACTAACCTATGAGTCTTAAGAGATTGTCTCGCAGGTTTTGAAGCAGCTTTATTTTCTTTCCGAAAGTCAGAGTCGATTTCTTGATCCAAGTTTTCTGCATGTTCTTTAGGAACTTGAAAAATCCCTGAACGCTGGGCACCCCTACTTCTTCATCTTCGGAAGGCGGCTCTGTGGTCTCCTCTTCCTCCTCGGATTCCTGACTTGCGTTTTCGGTTGAGCTAGAGGAATGTTTCCTGGAAGTGGTCTCCACTTTCGGGGTCACCATTTCCACATTTTGGACTGTTGGTGCCTTGGTGTAACCGAGCAGCAGGGGATTACTACTCATACCGAATCTCTCCCGCTGATACTCCAACCAGGCGGCACTGGGCGTACTGAACTCATCACCCTGCTGACTAAGCCCGGCAAGAACTACCATTATGAAGCTCTGGGCCACAAAATAATGCATCTTTTCTGTCGCAATGCTGAAGAAGAACTGTTGGAGGCGCTGAAATTCTGGCGAAAAAGGGGGCCACCGTTGCAGGCCAGTGATCTTTTGGTGCACATTGAGTTAAAGATACTTTTACTACCGGTGACAAAACAGCCATGGGTAGAAAAATATTTGCAAAATGTTTTACAAGCCATAATTGTTACTATACACTCAATCTGTGAACTCAATTCGAAGTACAAATTGCATGATGTTAGTAAGAAACAAGATAGAATGCTATAGTCGAGTTCCCCGACTACCAGATACCCCTTGCTCAGCGAGTGGAAGTGCAAACGAGAAATTTCAACATCTGGAATATCGTTAGAAATTAGCGAAAAAGTAATAAAATGAAAAAAAACTGATGATCAGTTGAGTAATGGAACTTAGAACTGCAGCATTGGGACATTTGGTATTGGGTATTAAGTACAACACTTATTATAGTAAACTCTTCTTTTGCCAAAATGAAAAACCCTTAAGTAAATCAGAGCGTAATTAAATTAGACCATTTTAATTTCACATTTGCACATTCACCCCTATTTTTTTGCCCGCGACTGCAAGTAAAAGCGCCAAGTGCGTTTCCTAATTCTCGGACGTTGTTTATTCAGCTGTACATATTTCCCTGCCATTCGTTTGGTTTGGTGTCTTCCTGCGACTTATGGCCATTGGTACTAAACTGGATCTGAGCTTCGCAGTTACGTCTGGGTTTTATTTTCACGTACACGTAGGTATGTATATTAGGTATTTGTGTATTATTCATAAGAGTTGCCTTTAGGTGGTTAACAAATTAAAGCTATCGACTAATTTTGATTCTAGAGAAAATTTAGCACACAGAGTCGTAAGTTGTAAGTGGTAAGTGGTAAGTGGTAAGAAGAGTTCATTCGTTTAGCAGATATCAATCGAGAAGCGAGCTAGAGAGATAGGATAAACTTATGGGCTAGGCAATAAGGTTGTCCTGCTATTTGATGTGCCGGCAGAGGTGGAACCGCATCCACTTCAGCGCCCTGTCGCTCATGGCCTCCGACTTGGGGGAGTTCCCGCAGTCCGACAGCCGGTGGCATCCGGCGCAGTCCGCCGGAGATCGACGATAGCTCTCGGTGGTGGTGGTGGTGGTGGCGTTGGTGGCGCTGCAGCTGATTATCTCGGCGGTGCTCTCGAGAAGCGCCTCGGGCTCACAGCCAGGTCACATGTCGCCCGCGCAGTCCCAGCGCAGGTCATCCGCCTCGTGGGTGAGGTAGCGTCCGGCGCCCACCTGGGTCTCCAGGTTGCGGAGGTCGCGGTACGTCTGCTTGTCCTGCAGCCAGTAGTGCAGCAGACTCTTGTCCACCGTGTACCGCTTGCGCTGCTTCACCTGCAGCAGGTTGTTGATCAGGTCGATGGCTGGGGAAAATCGGATGGGATTCATGGATTAGCATGGGCTAACTTCAAGCCTAAACTCTAAGCGCACCGTTGGAGGAGATCTCCTTCCAGGGATTTGGTGGATACATGAAGGCCGCATTCTGGATCTGGTCGTTGATGTCCTCCTCCTCGTTGAAGGGGAAGGTGCCACTCAGGCTCACGTAGATGATGACGCCCACGCTCCACATGTCCAGAGATCGGTTGTAGCCCTTGTTGCGGAGCACTTCGGGTGCCAGGTAGGCCGGAGTGCCGACCACCGAGCGGCGGAAGGACTTCTCGCCGATAATCCTGGCGTAGCCAAAGTCGCAGAGCTTCACCTGCGGGAACTCGGCGTCCGAGGAGAGCAGCACGTTCTCCGGCTTCAGATCGCAGTGGACGATGTTTTGCGAATGCAGGTACTTGAGGGCAATCAGGATCTGGGTGATCAGGAACTTGGTCACCCGCTCGCTCAGGCGGCCCCTTGCATGCGAGAGGATCATCTCCAGCATGTCGCCCTTGAGCTTCTCCATCACCACGAAGATGCGCTCCGGAGTCTCGAACATCCGCTCCAGATTGACGACGCCGCAGTGCGAGATGTTCTGCAGGATGGCCACCTCGTTCTTCAGCTGCGCCTCCTGTTTGGTGGGGAAGCGCAGCTTGTCGATCACCTTGATGGCCACCTCGCGCTGCGTCTTCTTGTGCACGCCGCCGTAGACCACGCCAAACTGCCCGGAGCCGAGCACCTCATCCGGAAAGATCTGGTACAGCTGGCCCATGTCCTGCACCTGCTCCTCCGACTCGCAGCATTCTGGAAGGGAGAAAAAGCGTGCTGATGCACCGTTCACAAGCATATTCGGAATACCTACGCGTATTGGTGACGTGCATGAAGGCCTGCCGGATGCTGGTCTCCCAGCTCTTGGCAATGTCGCTTCCAATTCCACTGTCCGGCGGCGGTAACCTGACGGCCTGCTCCTCCTTGGCGCCCACCTGCGGATCCTGTCCGACGAAGTAGCTGAGACTGGGAAGGCGCAGCTCGAAGCAGTAGTTGCACTCCGGCCGGGGATCTCCGAGGTGGCTTTCGATCGAGAGGAGCTCCGCCAGCGGCAGCTCCTTGTGGTACTTGCTCCCCTGCTCCGAGACGAACAGTGTGATGGTCTTGGAGTCCAGTCTCCAGTAGTATCGCTTCACCGCCTTGTCCAGCGAGGTGTAGTGCACCAGCCAGCCCTCCTTTAGGGCCTGCCCTCCGCGCTTCTTGGTGTGCTTCACCGACTGGACGATCCTCATCAGCGGGATATTGGCACTGGGCGAGGAGGAGCTGGAGGATTGCGACTGCTCCGACTGGCCATCGCTACTGGACTTGCTGGTCTCACCGCCCCCGACGCTGGAATCATCGCCCAGTGCTCCGTTGACCAGCTCCGGCGGCGAATTGTGCGCGTTTGTCAGGGCTTTTGGTGCTTCTCTGGGTCTGCCCGCCACCAGATTCACACCGCCCGACATGGCCGCCTTGTACTTGCCATACTCGGACCCGTCGTCGCCGTCACTGTCGTCGAACTCCTCGCGGAAGAAGTTGTCCCGCTCCTTGGCCCCGGCCTGGATCTGCAGCTGGCTCAGTTGGGCCTCCCCCGTGCAATCGTGGGGCACCTTGTCCATGCACTTCTTGTGCGTGTTGTACTGGCAGTCGCGGCACTGGAGGCCCTGCTTGAAGAGTCCTTTGAGCAGCTTCTTGCACAGCTGGCACACCGTGGGTATTCCGTATGTGTGCACCATGAATGTGTGCGGAATGCGGAGCACCATCAGTCCATTCCGGCTGCCCGACGAGTGGGTCCTTTGATGGCGACCGGGAATATTCTGGGAATTGTGGAGGGCAGGTTACTTAATTAGCAAATTGAGACGCTCTGCAGCTGGATGGGATGGGGTATTCCCTGTGGGCAGGGCTGCTTTAATAGCGTTAATTGGGCAAAACTAATTTTCATAATTTGGCCGGCTTCTGCCGAAACCCCATTCCAGGACTATTTTGAAAAGGCTTTCGGGGAACTTGTTGCAAACACCAAAGATGGTGGCCATGGCTTCAGTGTTTTGGGAATTGTAATCGCTCAAGGAAAAGGACTATGTTTTGTATCAAAAGGGCCAGATTTGTGGCTGCTGTTTGCCTATCAGAGTGCAAGGAGTGACTTTTTAACTGTGTCCACAATTTTCCTGGAGCCCAATCCTGATGCAAACCCCCTAGGAGTGCGCTAAATAGTTAATAAAGCGTTTGGAGTGCGCAGTATAAAAAGTTTATTGGAAAAAGCGTGAAAATAATACAAATGAAAAGCGTGAGCCACTTCAAGTACAAGTGCAAATACTCGCGGGCGGGACAAGCGGAAACTATCGACCACCACCACCCTCAAAGGACGCACACACACACTGGCACACAGTATCTCACACGCACACTGTATATGCTGAGGATAGCGAATATGAAAGGTCCTGTCTGGCTGTCAATTCTTAATAATATCATTCATAAGGTCCGACATGCGCTTTACCAGTGAGCTGCTCGAGTCGTTCCGCCCGGCGGAGTCCTCCGTGGAGACGAGCGACTGCTGGGAGCTGCCGGACGGACTGCGGGGCGCCTGGAGCGTGAAGGAGCGCCGCGAGGTGGCGTCGTTGGAGCGGTTGCAGTTGTTCGGGATCTTCACCACGCACCGCTTGTGATAGTTCTGGCCGCATCCTGTGGGCGGAATGCAAGGACACGTTTGGCGATTAGTGGCATAGCTCTGCCCCCCGCTGTCACACCCTGATTCACATACCGTCGCACTTGAGGCCCTGCCGCACCAGGCCAAACAGCATCTCGCCGCAGAAATCACAGAAGGTCGGTCCCTTGTAGGAATGCACATTCAGGCTGTGCGGCTTGAGCGTCGGCATCTCGGAGGTCGGGTACAGGATGGCTGCGGTGGGGAGACAAGGATACGTTAGTATTGGCTCTGCTGAAGGTGCTTCCATTGTATAAGTGGCTTGAGCCATAAGGGCTAGTCTACCAAAATGGATATGATTTCTAACAAATTACTGGCACAGATTATAGCTACGCGACTTAGTTTGTTTTATTTGAATTTACTTGATTTATTTGATTTCTAACAAATTACTAGTATAGATATATGTAGCTACGCGATTTAGTTTCTTTTATTTGAGTGGTACTAATATCGCTTCCATTGAAAATATAGCTACTAGCTAGCATGTGGAATCGTAACCCTTACAGAAATATAAGTACCAATTTAAACTAGGAAAATATAACCCTATAATCACAGATTCAAAAGAAAGCATTGGAATTAATATTTGTACTAGTTGTGCGAGCATATCTGTTGGGAATCAAACTCTGCCGTCACAGATACGACACATTCATCTCCCTTGCCGTTTATGAACTGGTTATGAATGCTCCCCGTTTGAGTGGGTAGAACCCCAGCCCGGCTGGCGGCTGGCTACTTACGACTGGCGGTCAGCACGATTTCCACGAGGGTCTCGTCCACCACCTCCGCCGCCGAGTTGATGATGTGCAGCACATTCGGGGTGCTGTAGTCGTGGACGAAGAGCAGAATGCGTTCCGAGAGGTACGTGAGTCCGCTGTCCGGGATCTGAAAAGGGCGATCAGAATCAGAATGTGGGTGTGAGCGTGGTTGGGGCAAAGACATTGGCACTGGCGATGTTCGGCTTCGTTTAACGCTTATTTCTGCATGGGCCGAGCCATTATCATATCACATTCGTATCTTAATTGATTGCCGATAAGATCCAGCCTGCCATATGCACGAAATTCGTATTGATTTCAGTGTTACGGACGGAACTCAACATTGCTGGCTTGTTTGCTTAATATCTACACAGTGGCAAATGCCCTAACAAATTGGAAAAAATTATGTGGCCCTGCTAATATTTATCGAGCTGAACCGCACAATAAACGCTCCATATATGGCCAGCCCAGAAGGAAGCCAAGTCGCAGGATGACAATAGTGATTGGGCCATTGTGTGACTTGATGAGCTGCCAGCTTTTCCGCAGTTAATTGATAAAATCCACTGCCAGTCCAGGCGGAGACTTGTACACATATGCAAGGGGCAATTAAAGGTCCATGGGTCTAAGATACTGTGCTACTACCCCTCGCCTGGCCAAAGTTGCACGCACTTGGAGGTGGATTTCCGGCTGGAAGGAGTCGTGTCTGGAGCAGCTGTCGTGGCAGTGGATGGTTGTGGAACTTAGGAACGCCACCAGTTGCGGCCTGGTTAATTGAATTGGCCATGGTAGCTGCGTCACGAGGGGAAACGAGTACATGCCTATGTAACTCGGACTTACTTAATGAAATAAAGCAATTATTGTGCACACACACATGCACTAATCCGACCTTTCCACTTGTCTGCTGGAATACAGTGTCCAATGACTAAATTCTGGCGTAGCAAAACTACTTTCTTCTTTTATAAATTACTTGCTAGCTTGGCTTGGTTTGGCTACCTATGCCTATGGCAATTTACTTAATAGTAAGCAAGTTTTTAATTTGTTTATGCAAGAAATGTGTGCAAAAACCACTGTAAAGGGAGTGTCGAGCTGCCCGCCATCCGACTTTTGTTCGAATATTCCACAATTGACATGTTTAGTGCAGGGAGCTTGCATAATTAACTAACTGGCTCCAGATGCTGACCTGCTTTGGCAACGGTCTAATACCAAGGAATACCTTGTGCCTCACAAATACATATTTTACGTGTGACTGTTCCCAATTAAAGCAAATACGAGTGTTATCGCTGGAATGGTTGGTTCACCTTTGTGTTGATGAAGTCGCAGGCCAGGTCCTTGAGCGTCTTGAGGGTCAGCGAGTGGGCGGGCACGCAGACCGCATCGCGCACGCTGCCGAATTGGAAAAGGAATGTGACTTCGGGACCCTCCATGATAACGGGAACGCTGCCGACGCCGCTGGCGACGCTGGCTGCGCTGCTGCCGTTGGAGGTGCTGTGGTTGCGCTGGGCCAGGATGGCTGTGGTGCTCAGGGAGCTCCTGTCTTGTCCTCGGATCCGATAAGATTCCTCTTTTCCGCTTCGCTTGCAGTGATTTCCCGGGGCTTCCTGCCCTCAGCCCCTCGCCTGTTATTCCAAATGCCAAGGACGAACGTCGGTTTAATGCTGCTGCTGCCACCGTTATCCTTATTGTCCTGGCTGCCTTCTGTTTCGGCTGCGGTTCGGAGTCGGCTTGCGGTTTGCGGTTTGCGGTTCAAGGAGTGCAGTCGGTCACGGCTCTATGTGTCCAGCTGAGGACAACACCACAGCGCCTCTGGATCACGGAAACTAGCTGCAAGGATAGTGGAGAAGGATTACACAGGAAGCCTTTTCAAGTTTCACCATAACTGCGCTTTACTTGGCAACAGGAAGTATTTGTCGCCTATCAAATTTTACTATTATTTTAAAGTCACAAAATTAAAGCAATGGAGAATGCATTCACCCAAGCTTTCACAATTAGATTTGCACTTCACAGGATAACCAACTGAGTGAAGATCAGTAAGTTAGGTCATGGAAAACGTGCATCGCTGAGACAATGGGGCCATAAATAATACGGCGATTGAACGATTGAACGATTCAGTGGCCATTACGTATACCTCGATTGGCCATATGTATACTGTCATTATATTTATATACAAAAAACAGGTTGCTAATTGCGATGAGAAAAACTAGAGAGATAAGATCGCCCTGGGAAACTTGCGCGGGGCGATTTGAATTCCTACCAATTATTTTGAAGTGCCCTGCCTGTTTGTGACCCATTTATGGAGTGTGTGTGAGGCATTAAAAAATAATTAAAAAATCATGACGGCCATATGTGTGCTGGCCATGAAAGGAATGCCATGAGCAGTCAAGAAAGAAAGGGGGAGAGCATTCATAAGAAGTGGAGAAGAAATTGTGAAAGAAGAACAAGAAAGAGACTCTCGGCTGCCAGGCAACTTTCTAAAATTGCGTCTCGACGCTTTTTCCCTGCTTTTCTGGAGGTTCGTTGTTGTTTTTAAGTAGGTGTATCAGTCAAAAGTCGCAGATGGGAGCCGAGTGCGTTTTGAATTTCAATTGAAGTGCTTTTTAAGCAGGGAGGCTGCTCCACCATCTTCGAGTGCTTTTGGCCCAGAAAAGATAGCATCGGCGAGAAGTAGCCGAAACTGGAGCACCAGCACACGCAAATGACGCAGCGCAGAGGCCTAAAGTCAAGGCTAAAACACGTACACACTTCGATTTTAAGATACGTTATGGCAGCCAAGAGATACATTCGCCAAGAGATACATTTACATAACAACACCAGCAACAAGCTGCCCCACCGAATATCACTTAATAATTTATCCGGCAAATACACACAACTCGCGCCGCTGAGAACCTTTTCAGCGCCTTGCATCCGACGGATGCCGCTTGGACATGATGACTAACTGATGACCCAACTCTTGCTCTTGCCTCGACTTCAGCTCCTGCTGTCTATTTTATTCTATGCGCTGCAATTCGACGTCTCTGCCATCGTCGCCGCGGCACGTTCTGAGTTTGTTAAGCCAAAAGAGCAACTGACTTGGCCAACTGACTGCCAAAGCCGCCGACGATGCCAGAGACCCAGTGCCAGTCCCAGTCCCAGTCCCAGTTCCAGTCGTGGTAGTCGCTGTCTCAGACCCAGACACAAAACCCCATAAAGAGCTCCAACCCAAACCCAAACCCAAGTCCAAACTCAAACTGAGACCCAGTAGCCAGCGCAAAAACAACTCAAAACCCGTTTGGCGGCACTGCGGAAAATAAATGCATAAATAAATAACTAAATGCTGCAAAAATTAACATTAATTCCTGTTCAAAGCGCCTGATAATGCTTTAACAACACACTTTTAACCTTTGCCACTTCAGTTTTGGTATTAATATTTTTCATTAAATTAATTACATTCTCAAGGAACTTAAAAGTTTTCCAACCAACATTTTTAAGTCTTTTAAATATGTACGTAAAAATATAGATTCAATATTTTATAGGTAATTAGGATAACTACTTTCTTATCCAGGTCTGTTTTCAGTTTTTATTGTTTAGACAATAATCCGCACTTCATTATATTTATTATAAAAAGTGTTTGGGCAAATTAATATATTTTTTTTAAATTTCGTTAAGAGGCATTGCGTTAAACATCAAATAAAAATTATGAAAATGAATTTTAGTTTAATGAATTTTGGTTCTTTGGCCAATTGTATGTTATGTTGGCACACCAGATTTCGTAACAGAGAATGTAAGTGCATGTTTTCATTTCAGTGTAGGCGAATGTGCAGAGAAAGACAAGGCCGGAGCGCTGAAGAGCGGGATGGCAACACAGTGAGAGTGAGCGGCGTGAGACGTGTGTGAGTGTGAGTGTGAGCCATGAACCAAAGCACTCGACCCGGCATAGTCTTACTTCCCCCGGCCCCCGCCCCCGCCCCCGGGACCCATTTGTTGCCCAGTTTGTTTGTTTCCTTTGTTTGTTTGTTGTAACGGCCGCACTCTCCAATTTCCCCCTCCAATGCCCCACCCCCTCGGGCTTCTCCCCCCGCTCCACTCCGCACCTTCTGCACTCTTTCTCCGCATCGAGCGCGCCCACTTAGCGCCCATTTCTTCGCTCGTTGTCATTGTCAAGGCTGTGCCAGAAAACTACCTGAGGGGGGTGGGGGTTGATAAGCGATTTTCCCGTTACCGTTGGGCGGCCCCAGGGCCAAGGTGATTTCCTTTCATTGTGACGGTTACCGAAGTTGTGCCAGGCGAGCAGATGTTGTGAACGAATGAAGGAAATATAGATTTTTCCTTTAAATGGCAAGGAAATAACAAAACAAAATACTATTAACATGCATTCAAATCTAGTACATTCATAGGAAAAGTTGTCATATTTTCAAAAGTTTTTATGGAATGACACGCATATTTTCTGATTACATTACACTAAGTTAAAAATGTGTAATAGAAGCTAATTTCAAAAAATGCGTTCAAACAGTTTTATATAATTACGAATCAGCTGAACAAGATTCTGAAACAATTTAGTGAATTTCGTTTCGTTACTCAAATAATATGTAAGTATTTCGGAAATATATTTAGATTTTAAATTGATCAATAAATAACAGCGGATCCTTGCCGAAAAAACAAACATATGTGAGTTTATAAAGTGCGGCAAGAAAATGGTTTTGTTATTGTAATTTATAATGTTTCTCATCGACTGTTGTGCTTTGGAAAATAAATTGCATTATATTATAAAAGGGTATTTTTCAAACCAAAGTAAATAATAATATTCAAACTTCTCCAATTCGAAATTCTTGGTCGCCCAATAAAAAGTTGGTTGTAAGCTGAGTTTTCATGAGTTTCTTATTGCTATCCCCTCGGTTATCGGTGGGTTTTTTGGAGGCTGTGCCGCCCGTACTCACATGTTTATTTGTTGGAATATTAATAGAATTAGAATTCTTATATTCATGTGAAACAAACACAGAACGAAGCGAAATGCAAATAGTCACAGCCGACGCAAAAGTCGCGGGCTCTTTTCAGAGTCTGATAAGAAACCAAGAACGAGACGGGGCTACTGGGGGCGATAGAGAGGGGGCATCGCAGGCATCACCGTAATCATCGATAGATAATTAGCAAGGTGATAATAATTCCAAGCCGGGAGCGAAAGCGAGAACGAGATGCGCTGATGATGCCACGCCAAGTTCAAATTCCACTGTGGGTGGAGCCCAAGAAAATCCTATGCAGTGTGCGAAAAAAGTCATCATTTCACAGATCTATCTTATAGCTGGAACTACAGAAATAAACCATACCTTTGAAGGTATTTCTGCAGTGTTTCGAGTTGGAAATGCATGCAGTTCAGAACCGTATTTCAAGTATAGTTAACAAACCCAAATTGGAACTTGTAGAAGCGGAATTAAGCTTGTGCGAAATCTCTAGAGAACCATGTAGATGCGATAATGGTTCTAGTTTATTGAGCCTGACGCACCGGCCATATAAATACCAAGGCCAGGAACAACTCGAATGTGTTTCTGTTTGTTTTTCTAGCTCAAGTGGATGGTGGACTCCCAAAAGGGAAAGCGAGTGGGAGTGGGAGTGGGTTTCCCCGCCCGAAGGAGCAAATAAATATTAACGGGCGCGGGCGCAGACAAACATTTGCATTGAAGCGTGGCAGGACAATGGTACAGGTGGTCCTCAGTAAGGAGGATTAGCCAAGTGTTCATACTCTCAGTTATAAAACTGTATTTAAGTGGTTACTTGCGAGGAGTGGACTAACGATTAAACGGTATAACAAATAATTCAAAATATTGGAATTGTATGTATTTAATAATACATAGTGCGTTATTAAGTAATACGATTTGTTTAATAAACTACTGATGAATATATAGGAATATGGCGTTCAGTTACAACAAATTCAAACCTTTCTGAGTTTTGATAACCATTTTATAAATGTATGGTGCCATACTTACATACATATACTTATTTTCCCATTCGAATAGCTGGCATATCATAATTATATGCCTCGTAAAGACACGAATTGAACTGAAACTACCACTCACGACCACCAACAACGAAACGTAGCAAATTAGCAACAAAAGCACTCCACTTGGGCACAGGATGATATAATAACGGGAACTGGGAAGCTCGGAAAACACGGAAAACTCGGAGAACTGGGGAAACTCGGGAAACTGCCAAGGAGCCGACTGTGACACTTAAATTTTAATGTTTCTCGGGAAAATTTCATTCAGCTTAATTTGTTTTCAGCTGGCATCCCTCGACGACGTCGCCCGACTTCCGACTTTCCGTCGATTATTTTTACACTCATTTAAGATGCAACACTTGGCGAGTGTGCTTGCATATATGTACATATGTACAAGCACATACATACATAGACTTGTTGAAAATGTCTTGCAATTAATTTGAATAATTAATATGCACACGGACAGGAGCTAGAACACCAACACACCTTCACTCGTGCCCCATTTCCCCGGGCGCTTTTCCTTAGAATTTTCAATATTTGTTTGCCGTTTCTGCGCGCGTGTGTGTGTCGTAGTATTTTCCTTCTTTTTTTCTTTTTTTCTTGCCTTTCTTGTTTTCCTACTTTTGTGGCAGCATCGTGGACATGTCCACGTTGCGCTGTTTCTGTCGCTGAGGCCAACGAGAAAATTTCGCACGTTTGCACTTCGCCTCGACCGCCGCGCAACTGAAGCGAAATTTCCACAGGCAGCCATCGCAATCGGCGGCAATCGCAAAAAATCAGCAGCAGCGGCTGAAAAGGCAAAATCCAAATGAAATTGCCGAGCTCAACTCAACTCTCGATTTGGACTCGGGTTTATGCGCTCTCTTACCCCACAAATCCCGCAGAGAAATTCTCGAACGGGAGAGAGGAGCGGGGGGAGGGGGGGGATGCCTTCGATGCCTAGGATGCTGATTTGAAACACCGCATCAGTTTCCACATTTCTGGCGTTCTTGACGCGCTTCCTCAATGAGATTCTATTTTATTTTGGCCTCTCGATTGTTTATTTACTCTTCTCGATTTCGGCTGGGCGTTTGTTTACAATCGGCGGTGGAAGAGGTGAAAGCCATGCTCGCCAAGCTTTCTCACTTTCTCACAGGTGTCTTGAAAGCTTCGGAGTTGTAACGAAGAGAAACGGACCACTTTGCTCAAACAGAGGTACTCTCTGTTACGCATAAGAGTTGTCAGGGTTGCCAGGTCTTAGCCAAGAAGTCCAAAAGTAATAAGATTTAATTCATGATTTCAGTTTTAAATTGATTTATGTAAGTATTTATTTATTGAAGTATTAGGTTGAAAGAAACTACCATCCCAAAAATATTTGTTACACTTAATATATTTAATTCAAATAAAGCATATACGTAACATACGGAGTCTTTTAAATCCGAAAAATTAAGCAAAGAGCAGTCGAAATGTAAGAGATAAGTGTGCCACTCGAAGAGAGTCAAGTGAGCGGGCTTTTAATGGGCGACTGTTGCTTGCCCCGCTCCCAAAAGCTTTAACCTGCACTGGAAAAAATGATGCGCAGGGATTCGGCGACTTTCAGTGGATGCACACGCCACACCGGAGGTCAGTAGCTCGAGGAACTCCGGGGATCCCCCTTTTAGTCAGCCAAACTGAAGCGCGTAAAATGCACATTACGGTAACACGTTGCGGCGGAAAGGTAACCGGAAACGTAAAGCTTTTCGCCAGCATCGTAATCGCTTTTCCACGCTAAGAGCTTTTCATTTCGCAGAATCAGAAAAATGGGGAAAAATGGGCGGAAAAGAACTGGGCCAGTCACACGAAGCAACTTCGAAAAGGGAAGCATAAAATTGCTCTAGCAACACATGGCGCTTACCCCGTCCCGGAAAAATGGGGCGGATGTGTGGGAGGTGGGCGGTGGGCGGTGGTTAGTGGTGGGTCTTGGGCGATGGGTGGTGGGAGGCCATTTTTCCAAAGGGGGGTGAATGGCTTTTGTTGCTGGCGCTGTGCCGCCTGCCAACTGACAACAAAAGCGTCGCACGTAATATAATAAAGAGATTTTCCATAGCATACAAAGCGGGGCTGCGTCGAGACAGTTGCATGTGTCCTGCTACATAGAGAACTATTGTGGTGTAATAGCTCAACTGGTTCGGATAAAATATTAAAAATATCCCACTTTCATGTAGTTATTATAGGGTATCGCTGTATCCAAGGTGCCTTGAAGACTATACAAAGTATCGTTCACTTTTGGTATCTTGTATCTTAAGGTGTTGTATCTTTTCCTAAATAGACAAGTTTTAGCTGCAATCTCAGACTAAAAATGTTTGAAGCACAACAGAAACATTCTTAAAGCAGTAACCCAAGTTTAGAAACAAAAAACGGTGTTTGTTGTCTGTGTAGTTGGGTTCCGGGTCCTCGGAATGTAGAATTCTCCCGGCTGTCTGCCCCTGGCATGTCCTCGTCTAAGCCTCGCATTGTAGATGGTGCACACATTATAATGGAAATCGGTTTTAGCTGAACTAAAAATAATTGGCCTTGCATCTCCGGTACGTTTCCGTCCATACAGCCGTAGAGTGTGTGTGTGCCACATACATATGTATTTAGGCGAGTATCTGTGTGTGTTCAAGTGCTCGTTGTTGCTGCTGGTAATCAACAGTTTGTTGGCACGCGTTGCCATTTGGCCCAGGGATGGGGAGCCGGGGGCTGGGAGGGGCCAAGTTTAGACGGAGCGAAAAACATTTCGCAATTAGCTCATTCTCCATGCTCCATTCACATGGATTCACAGCTTTTGGGCTTCTAAATTTACGATTACAATTCGGAGCTGGTATTTTGGGTTTTATTTGGGGCATCGATGTGGCAATGGAAAAACTCTTTGAACTTTGGTTGTATCGGATGCAATGGATTTCAGTTCGCTTGGAAAGTGCACAGAACGAAGCTAAATAAATTTTATAATAATTAGTTTAATAGAAACATTTTTCTTCGAAAAAGTAATTCGCTCTTTTCTAAAAATCCCCCAAATCCGCCATCCATTTTCCTTATTCAACCGAATTGCTTGCGACTGTTCATTTGGGATTCCTGCAGGGATTCCCGTTCAAACGCGAGCATTTTAAATTGGGAATAAATCAAAGGCTCAAGGCTGAAGTACAAACTCAGCAATTTCAGGCTGCTCGCACATTAAAGTTGCATTTATTTCCGGGGAATGAGGGGCCATACAAAGTCGGCTGCCTAATGCGGCAATTGTTAAACCGAATGCAAATAGACGTTGCAGTTGGCATTCTCCAAGGAACTTGCGCCGCGTGCCAGGCATAAATCACTCCAGTGACTACCGCTGCTCCTTCGCTCCGTGCCCCTGCCACTTCTTTTCATCCGCTGCCTGGTTCGTTTCCGTTTCCGGTTCCGCTGCCGCCGGAGCTTCCAGCCTCAACTCAGACTCCATCTCCAGCTGCAAATCCAAGCCGTACTCCTCCCTGTCGACGGTTAGCTTGGTAACGCTTTCGAGGGTTTTCATGGTTTGCATATACAGCTTCTTGGCCAACTCCTTGTCTTGGCCCGTCACCGAACTTTCCGCAATTTCGCAATCACTGCAACGGACAAAAAGAGGCTGTTTTGAGGAGGCTGTGCCGCAGAAAGTGGCCAACAAAGTGCTGCTAATGCGGCCAACAGCAACTGGAGTGCAGTGGAGTGGAGTGGCCATGGCAACTACTCACTTGAAGTACTCGCCGGTGACTTCCTTCAGCTGGGGATCGGTGGCCAAGCGGATGGCGCACTGGGCGCCCTCGTAGGCGTTCTTCATGAACAGCCACATCCACGGGTAGGTGACCGCCTTCACGCAGAGGGACGACATCAGCGGGGAGCTGCAAAGTGGAGCGATTATGGTAATTGTTTAAATGGGGAACAAGCAGCCGAGAAATGTTGAAGCTGAAAGTCCGTTGCCTTTCAATTGCTTTCTAAAATGTAAAGGAAGCTTTGGATAATGAGATACATATATGCGCATAAACGCCAGCAGTCTCTTCGCGAACTTTAAATGTGTTTTTTTAATTATCGAGTTGATTTACGAGTTTGTAGATACATTCGCAACTAAGGTGAGCTTATAGATAAATACACTTTTCCCGACAGCTGAAAAATGAATGTGAAAACTATATTTAAATTTATTTATATTGTTTTCCCCACAACGTTTGCTGATGCTTGTTTAGTCAATAAAATTTGTTTTGATGGCCTCAAACTCTCAAGATATGCAGAAACTTTGAATTGAATTGTCTTGATGAGCTTGTTTATTATACAACCCATATTTGGCTTTAAATTAAATCGTTAGATGCCAGTTCATTTTGTTTAAAGTGTTGACTAAACCTGGTCACTAAGCGAACCGTAACCATTTCTTTTGGGTGCATTGTCTTAATGGCATTTTCAATTGGGCGATAAAGGCGCCAGTGCCGCCAGATGTCCTCCATTCAATTCAGCCGCTCATCCGTTGATCTCCGCATGGCTCTTGGCCATCTCCGCAGCTGGGACTGGGAGTGGGAGTGGGACTGGGCCAATTCCAGCTTCTGAGCCCAACGAGTTGTGCGAAATGGCCACCCCGCCAGGCTGCCTGCACCTCTTGCGCCCCCTCTCCTCACTTTTTACACTGAGAAATGTTAAATGTTTGCTGCATTTAAACAGGTATTTCATCATACCCCTTAACTGCCTTGGAACTGAATTTATAAGTATTTAAATGTGTCTAAAAGTGTGTATTTAAAATCCACCTAAATGTTTTCTCTCAGTGCAGCTGATGCTGCCTTTCAGGAAGGATTACGAACTTGCGCACAATTTGCTTAGCTGTCGTTGTTAATGCTTTTCGCCCCGCTTGGCGCTTTCCTTTTGTTTTTCCAGGCGGGCAACGAACGATGAACGGTGAGCAAGTTCACCGACACTTGAACACGATAAAACGATAAATAAATAATTAATGCGTTTAACTTTTCCATTTACGCTTTTTCCGTGACTTGAGCATTAACTGCTTTTCATTTTCATTCACTGCATAGTACGCACAGATAGAAGCCACGCAAAAAAGCGATGGCATGTGTGCTCAGCGCTGGCCAGTGTCTATAAAGTTGGTTCCATTTAGGCATAAGTTTTCTATTTACAATGTAGTTTTTTGATTTCATGCACAGCACAAATATTCTACTACTAAAACTAAATGATTTTTATGAAAATACCCTATAATGAAACGAGATATATCCAGTGAGAGCCTCGACAAACTATCCATTTTCATGGCTTTCCCGCACCTCATCTAGGTGTATAAGTTATTGCCTTTCGCATCACTGTGCATGAATTGGGCTGACCTGGCCCGGGATCCTTCCTCTGACCCCCTGGACACCCACACTGCCACAAGAGTTAAATCCCCTTGTCCTGGGTCGAGGCTGGTGTTGATTCCATTCATCGTTTTACGCCAGCGTTTTCATAGATACGAGTATCTGTCCTTGCGCCCCCCACCCCCGCCTCCCCGCCAGCTGGTTGCATTTTTAAAGTGCATAGAAAGCTGCAGGGGCTGCAGATGGTTTGTTGGGAAAAAATGGGAAAAGAGTGCAAAGCAAAATAAATGTGTGTGGCTTAGACTAGGGGCTACTCTCTGGATGCATTGATTAATGGCTGTTTACACCGAATAGTCAGGAAATATTGGCGCTTAGAAGGAGTGTATAAATTTTCCGGCTGAAATTGGGAAAATAATTTGCGTGGGAGCCACGTTGACATTTAATTAAATGCAAAATATTAC